TAACATTCATTAAGTTCGAAGATATTTTCCAGGGATGTTTACATGTCAACATTTCTTTTTTTCGTTGTCCATTTTTGTAACTTTTCATAGCAACCTAGACTCAAATTATGCCAAACTGTGACCCAAGGAATGTGGTATTTCCTGTATAATTGTTCGATGTTTTCATCCTCATCCTAGACTCATGCTTCACGAAAAGTGTATTCTAAAATCTGAAAATTTAATGGGTAATACGGCTCACTTTGGACTGCATTTTTTTTGTCTAATTTGAGCCTAGATTTCTACGAAAAGTTGTAAAAATGGACGATGAAAAAAAAATGTTCACATACAAATATTCTTGAAAAATATCTTCGAACTTAATGAATGTTACACGGACACACGTCGCCAACATTGCCCTATGTAATGACGAAAACTCGACTTCGATATCTATAAATGATCGAAACTTATTCAAAAAATGATGGTTGGCATTTTTAAAAAATCCGACAAAACATGTAAAAAAAGATATAGAGTATCCATTGAGATTCAGCAATTCTCTATAGAGATTCCTTCAAATTATAGATACTTTTGAAACTCCACATATAATTTTCTAGTGCAACAAGGCACTAAGCCTCAACTCTGCTCATAAAAGGCTAGATAAACTTACAAGGATGATGATTAACATAAGCTCTGAGTTACTTGCACCTCTGAATGAACCTTTTAGTTCTTTCTCATTTGGAGCACGAAAAAGGTAGAGAAATTTGTACTAAAAGAACAAAAGTCTTTCATTGGTTAAAAAATAAAGTATATCAGTTTACGAATGATTCGTAGTGCTTCTAATTTTTGTGGTAGTACCATGAAAACCAAAAGTCAGTGCCTACTACGTTTCAGGATACCATTACTTTCACCAGCAGAAAAAATAAAAATAAATAGCATTTCTTCAAGTTGTTCATTTTTCTGGAAGAAAAATTTCAGTTGATAGTATCACTAAATACTTTGCTACTATTGAAGTGATTTTAAGTTTCTTTTCACAATAGAAAAGTAACACTTTATATAAAACAAAGCTCTTAAATGTTTCACTTATTGCTATATAACTAGATATTGTAAGTGAACTTTAGGTCATAATACTGGAATTTGTGTTACTTTTTTCTACGTGGGATACCAGCTTTGAGTGTGTAATCAATTGATACAGATAGATACTATAATCAAAATCTTTTTTTTTGGTTCAACTTTCCCATCAGTCAACTTTGATATAACTTCATAAAAATCAGTAGATCTGATATTTTTAATGCGCGAGTGGAACTCTAGTTTATATGTTCATATATCAGAGAAATACATAATTCTTTCGTAGTGATTTGCAGTCCATGAATAGCATCTTGTGTCTTTTTTTCGTATCGGTTCAGCCTATTCATCTAAGTTGAAACCTTTTGTTTAAAAAAGATACAGTTCTCAAACTATGAATTCGTCGATCAATTTTCTTAGAACCCTGCTTTTGATATTCTATATCGCATCCATTTGATCTCAAATCAATATTTATTACAAATAATGACTTGAGCATTTTACTTCAGTAAAATCTTTCATGATTCAATATTGACTTCGAAAGAAACTGACTGTTTTTGAGTACTATTAATACTGGAAAAAAGTCAAATAAGGGTATCTTTTCAATTGTAATAAAGTTTTCTCTTTCGTAAAACAAAAGATGCATTTCTTCTTTTGAGTAAATATCTATACTTATCCACTAGTTGAGCTATCTTTGTCTACGATTTGTGATATAACAAGTGCATATCATGGATCTATATAAAAGTATAGAATTTACACAATGTAATTGGAGTATAGAGTATGTAGGGGTTTCTTGGATTTGTACACTGATGGAAAAACTAAATGCATGTTTTAAATTCCTTTCTGAATTATCAACTATTCAGTCACATCCATACTCATCAAGACCCATCTAGTCTGTAATTTTGAAACTTCTCTAATGAACCTTTCTCAAAAAGTGCTGAAGAGAGGGAGGAGTCCCTTGGGCATGTCATTAGCTTACTTCGTCCACTGGCATTTATTGGTCTTGTGTCAGCATGTGGAATGTTTGTCAGCCAATTATCAATACCTATAAAATTGCCTATTCACATAAAAAGTGAAAAATAAATTTTGATATTAAATAACTTTGACCACTATGGCAGGTCAAACTATTTTTACGAAAAATTTTATCTGATAGGCGACTCATGCACTGGATTGGGCTAAAGTTGATAACTCCTCAGATGATTTTCTTAGTCTCTGTCCGATCTATTCTAAACTCTGACTCGAAATTACTATGTTATTTTAAACTTTTCTTCTCTTAGACGACACTAAATTGAGAATTTGTCTCATTCCAGGAGCGTGGAACCAGTATGGATGCACATAAGCTGGATGAACACCAAGAGGAAGAAAATGTTTGACTAATTTGATGTTACTCGAGACAGGAAATTAAAACAAAACCAACTCATGGTATTGCACTGTTTTATGTAGAATATATTATAGTGATTAAGAGAATTACTATTATCTGTGGAAGCACAGATACAATATGAACTCGTCTGGCTATTTTCAACGAACTAACTCGAAACCAATGAATGAAATCTATCAGTTTTTTACTTTCTCCTTCGATAGTTAATGGCGAGTTGTTGAAACTAAAATAGAGAGAAACACAATGCACGTATACACAATGATAGTAGTTACTTAAGTATGTTGTCCATTGGTGATATAAGTAAAGGGGAGTAATTCTTAAAAAAACAAACTTTTTTAGTCTGAATATTTACAAAGATTACTGTGGAAAGAAATATCAAACCTGTAGAAAATCGTTGAGCGTTATTTGATTCACCATGTTCGGTTTTATTTGAACAGTTTTGACTAACAACGATGAATTTTGTTGTAATGCTATGTTCTCCTGGATAGTAATCAATAATAAAGCGAATCGAGAACAGAAATCGTTGATAACTTACTATTTGATCTGTTGTCTTCATTCTTTTGGTTTCGTTAATTTTTATGTCATTTGTTATTTTGCAGGTAACATCACAATCTAAATCAACCATAAAGATATGATCTGATAAATGAGAACTATAAAAGATCGAATGCCGACAAAAAAGCTTGCTAGCGCAGCTCCTTTGGGGCTGAAATGTGAAACTCACGTATGTTCTTTAGCTTCATTATACTAATATCAAATATAGAAAGTATAAAATCAAGAATTTCTAAGTTTTTTAATTTTCTGACAGGCGCCCTTATTTTTCGTTTTCATTGTTGCTATTCCTTCAGTATTTTTCATTTTTCACAATGTTTTTTGTCTTAATTTAATTTAATTTTTTTATTATAATGATTAAATTAATTGGCGAACACGTCTGTTTTACATATCGATTATATCTACAGCAGATTTTATGCACTATTATATATTAATCAACTCACAAATAATGATGTTGATTATCTTTCAAAATTATGACTTAATCGATGTTGCAAAAAACTATAGAAAGTTTGACGCCTGTTATTCTCGATTGCTAAAGTCTGTAATGGTGGCTGTCTGTAATGGGGAGGGAGGGGGGGGGGAGAGAAGCTGCCAAAACTTGAACTTAAAACTTACACTCACTATTTTCTTCGAAAATATACGTGAGTTCTACAAAATTTTACTGAAGCTTTCACAAAACGGAAATAAAAAGTGTAGATTCTTTGTAAATCTTCTCGTGTCAGTCTAATAGATGTGGCAAACTGTTATCTGTATAAATGTAGGCGGTACTGATTGTTCGCCTAATTTTTAAAGTATGATTGCTTATCACAGAAACTTATACTAATTTGAATTCAGGTATTTTTATGGTTTGAATAGAAATATTGCTAAAAACGTGTGAAAGTTTGAATTTAATAATATGTCTCACTTGACTCTCAGATTAAAATTTTTTTAAATATGAATCATGCTCACAATCTGTTTTTTGATGAGTTGTGTTTTCGTCAACGTCAATCTGCTCTTGATCTGAATATTCCATGTTTTCTAAAGTATTTTTCGTTGGAAGTTCCTGAATCCAATTAAAGCCATCCACATTAATATTTCGAAAAATTAAACGAGGTGCCTTCAAGTCGACTTGATTGTCTTCTTCATTGGCTACGTCAATTAATGGTTGGCTATTGAGCAAATCAAAGTGCTTTTGTATGCGAATGAATTCATCTCGAGCTTTGCCAGCTTCTAATCCATCCACTTCATTTTTTTGTAACTGCTCCAACAATACATAACCAATTTTTACGTCCATTCGGTTCTTCAATGCTACTTTCCAGTGATCTCTGTTCGATTCGATACGTTTATGAAACCGTTCAACTGTCATTCGAAATTCATTATACTTTTGATCAATTTTATCATGCATCATTTTCATCCAATGTTCAATTTGGTTCAAACAATTCTCTCGGCCACTATTTATGTTTAATGATGACATTTTGTCAAAAAGTGCCTAAAATAATCAGACATTAATTAATTTTATTAGATTAAAATATTTCTGATGGCACAACAAAGCACAAACATTACGATTTGTCTAGTGTGAGAACTTTAGCGAATAGTGAGCTATCTTATCAAAGTATGAGCAAGTAAGGGAATTTGATAAGAGTTTGTGTCATAAGTAAAATGAGCCACCTAATATCATAAAACTATTCAACTCCAGGAGTTTAGGATGAACAAAAATCTCTAACTCATAATATACATACAATCATAACTAACCTTTGCTTTATTTAGTAGATCTTCTAGTTCTTTTTTCACATTCTGTTGATGTTCTGAGCCATGTTCGAGACAAAATGACGATGGACAATGAGGGCATTGGTAGGTGGCTCGATTTGGACATTGATAATTATCCGCCATTGGAAATCGATACTCACATCTTTTCACATTCATTTCTTTATTTTGATTCTCTCTAGTTTCGTGTAACGTCTGTATGGATGTGTCTGAAATACAGTTAGTCTCAGTTATGTATAGCACTAATGTAAATGAGTGTCATATTAAGATTCTATTATTGAAATAAAACTTTTCTGACTTATTTACCTGATGGTGTGATAGTTATGGAAGATCTACTAGTATCCACTTGATCAGTAGATACGATGCTGTCGTATGAAGATGCTGATGGCTTAGAAACGGAAGGTATCGCAATATTTTGTCTAGCTGAAAGTGCTTGTATTGTCGTCGTTTGAGTATTTTCTAATGCGATATAAAAAATATGGGTTCCTTTAAATACATTGTATTCGTGAAACAGAAAAACTCACCGTATTCATGAAAAGTGTTCTGCACTGTGTCACGTTCTGTAGTAGATACTACGTTCGTTGAATTGTCAGAAATGATACTAGAGTCTTGTGTCGGTAAATATGAGAACGATTGATGAGAAACTGCAGCCGTTTCTGTTGACTGTTGTCTCTTTTTATCTTCTGTAAGATGTCGAGCACATAGACCTTTTCGTTGAGCTTGTTTCTCACACTTATCAATAGAACAGATTCGTCGCCACTTGTCATTGACAAGTTTTTTCTTTACGTCAGTTTCGGCTAAGGACCTGACGCGTCCTTTTTCTTGAATAACTTCATTTGACATTTCAATTAGAAATTTATTAATTCTAAAACAAAAAGTCAAAATATTACTTTATAATTCAATTCTACAAACTACTTTCAATCTCCAAAACATATTTTCTTTGCGGAGAAGAAAAACCGACGATGAGAATATTTTCACAGCATTGAAAAAGATTTTATGTCAAGCATTTCGTTCTGACAGTGTTGGAGGTCGATTTTTCTTTTATTTTATATGATGACACAAGAAGGAAAATTATATCACATATTCTTTCATTCAAACGGAAAGGTTAAAATAATTATCGAAAAGATTGATCCTTTTAATCTTTGACAATAAAGTGTGGCACTTTGTCTTTGATTTAGGAATTGCACTAGAGTAAATCAAATTAAATTAAGTCCCAATTTTGTTCATTGTCTGATTCAATATCGTATACTGATAACGATTTAGTACATTAAAGTATTTATTCTTTATCATTTGACAAACTTTAAACCCAATAACACTTGTTTAAGTATTAATCGAGAGTCAGTTCTGAACTTTTTTACTTAATCGGATTTTTAAGTTTTTAACCTCGAAGTGCGCTTTTCCCATGAATCGAGGGTGCTTGAGTGGTTTTCGATCCATAAATTTGAACTTCAGGCTCCAGTGTGATTTCTATGTGCTGGTTTTCCCTAATAAAATCGTGTCATGAAAATGAGCAGATCAAATTCCTGATTTACTAGAAGTTTTGAAATGGATGGAAGCTCTCTCATAGGATTACATTGGATGAACTTTTGCTTGATACACACGAGTTTACAAAATCGGATCTAGTACAAGGCTATTGGCAAACCAGTACTAATAAATTTTCTCGCTGATTCTCCCTACTTCATATAGAGTAAAACAATTGAATTAGGCAGAAATTATTTTAATATTCCGTGGAGACTTACAAAGATGTTTTTTGGATGAGGAACGGTTACTTACATATAAAAAAAAGTTTAAGCAAGACAAGCTCTATCATAATGGCTATGAAACATTCAAATTCGTGATAGGAAATTGTTGTCGATTCATGGGAAAAGCTATCTCAAGATTAAAAATTGAAGAATTTGATTAATCAGAAAAAGCTCAGGAATGAGCTTGTTGATTGAAATATATACAAGTGTTATTGGATTGAAATTTGCTGAAAACATAAACCAGAAAATTGATAATCCTTCTTTTTTGTCACTCGTTTACTACCTTTTCCATTTATTTATTCGATCGAGAAATGTTTCTAAAAATACTTTCATAAGCTAAAGGGTTATCACAGTATGATGTTGAATCAAACAATGAACAAAGAATTGAACTTTAAAAGTAATTCAGTTTACTTTACTTTAATTGCTAAACTAAAGATAAGATGTCATCTATATAGAGAATCTAATAATTTTCGACTAAAATATGAACTTTCTTATTATTGAATGATTCTGATTATCATTTAATGAGGATCCGCAATTTTCATGTTGTCACAGACTTTCGATTAATAATATATTTGAACTTGAGGCCGCTAAATACAAAAAACAAATAATGTTATTTTAAATGTTGGACAATAGATGTCAAAGAAGTAAGACTTCGTTGGGTTTTTCTCCCTTACTTTGAAGAGTCAACACGGAGTAACTGAGATTCAATGAAAATTCTTATAACAAAACGATAGCTGTTATATAATGAAGGTTAGCAAGTCTTTTTCGATCACACAGATGAACTTGTTAAATATTATTTTTAATTTGAGGCCAATGATCAATGTAAGCATCTATGTCTTGAGAGTAGAAGATCGATGGAGAATATCTTTTTTTATGTAATTATCATGTAACATACCTCAGACTTTTTTCGCAGAAAATTTTATCGAATATTGAATCGAAGAAGTTAGAAAGTTGGAAATAATGCTTTAACTCGACATGAATATGTTTTTGGTTGACAAACATGGTCACGTAACTGTTTTCATTTCTCAGTTTGTGTTGCTCATTGTTACTAGTCGTTATGTTTATATAAGACTTTTGCCACTACGTCTACGTCCACATTCGTTTATGGCTTCTTCCATTGTCTAAGCAAAGCATAATACGACGCTATGACAGACGTAAAAGAGAACGGAGCACAAAATACTTTTTTCTTTCTTTTCATCTGTTTCACAATCGAATATATTACATACGTTGACGGAAGATTTTTACATTCTAAACTCAGCAAAACTTTATGAAAGAAATAATTCAGCAACGTGCGTAAAACAGTCGGTCTAGGTGACGATTTAAAAAATGCTGAGAAGACCGAATGTCTGCGTTTAATAAAAAATATATACGTTAATTAAAGCTAGCTTCGTTATAAAATTAAATTCTTTGAAACAAAATACCTTTAATGAACAGGAATATATGCGTATAGTTTTAGGTATGTGAGGAGGAGTGTCTTCTTTTCGTTCAAGCTCACAGCCCGCATTCACACTCACATCCTTCAAAAGATGTACCTTTTGGCAGTTGTCTAAATTGCCTATGTTCTCCTTATATATGTATGCGCAGCTCTCCATATGTTCTCACTTCTGCTCAGAGATTTGCAAAATCAAGAAAAACTACGTTAAAGTGATGCAACGGACATAAAAATTTATGCATTTTAATTTCATTGATTGTAGACAGTCACTTTTATCAATTTAATAGCATGGTTTTGATTAAAAGTCATTTACGTTGAAATCAATGAAATTGAAATACATCAATTTTTATGTCTGCTACATTATCCCAAATGCCATTTTTTTTCGTGTTCTGCGTATGATATTCATGCAGGCCATGAATTTTTTTTGTTTTTCTTAATTTCATGGATGTGTTTATGATATTACCATTTTACTCTGTATTGTTCATTCTCTCCCCTTTTCTGTGCTCTCCGTCAGTTTCATGATCATATATATATACATATAGTTCGATGATAGGTTAAATAAAATGAACAATGACCTACTGATTATAAATTAAGTCTTACGCTTTTCTTTGAGCTCCCTGCTCATACTTATTAACAGAACTTAGTCGTTACCATTTGTTATAAACAAATTTCTTTTTGGCATCACTGTTGGCAAAGGAATTCACACGTCGTTTTTCTTGAATGACTTCGATAGTCATTGTAATTGTAAATATATTAAACCTAGAGCAGAAAATCAAACTATAACATAGTATTTGTAACCATTCTATGTAATATTTGCAAGCGACAATACACACTTCCTTCGTACGAAGAAGGAAATATACAAGTTATGTATTGCAAAAAAAGATAAAGGCTGTTTAGCATATGTTTCTTTCCTTCAAATACAAAACTTTTTTTTTTCATATATTTACCAGAACGATGAGAGACGACAATGTCACATGTTAATGTTTCAAAGGCAAAATGCTAAACAGAACATCTATCATTTAAAAGTTATCCATCATCGAATATCAAATAATTTCTCTGATAAAAATTGAGCTCGTTGATATATAATAATATATGCCATCATTTACTAAGCAGTTGAAAATATCAACATGATATCTCTTTGTTTTTCTAAATACTATAGAGGCTGGGCCAAAAGTCACTGAGCAGTCTTTGATTGCGAGTAACTTTTGATTGGAGCAAGATAAAGGCTTACAGTTTTCGCCATTAGATAGAGCAATCTCCAGGGTTTCTACCTCTATAAGTTTTATTAGACTTGAAGAAGATTTCAATAGCTGCTTCCAAACGGATATCTCGTTTCATTACTTAATTCCATAGATTGTCCTGGTAACTTTAGCTCAACTTATGCTAAAATGGCACACGAAGGATGACATGTTAGCAAAAAATTTTTCACATCTTTGTGGCATTCTCTCAAACTCATACCATAAGTATACTAATTTGAAATGTCAGGCATTTAACATTAACATACCACCCTTCGTGTTGCATTTCGATGCAAGTTGAGCTAAGATTACCACGACAATCTATGAAAATAGGCAGTGAAAAAAGATATCTATTTGGAAGCAGTTACCGAAATCTTCTTTAGGCTTAATAAATCATACACGGTTGGAAAAAATATTATTCCAGGGGGGTGACGCTATAATTTCAAATAGAAGACATAATGAGTTTTACATCAAATGAAAGCTCGTAAAAAATGGGGTTTATTGGTATTAAATAGTGAAGATTATGAAAACCTTTTAATGTCGAGCTTAATAAATTTTCAGAAATTTTATACTTTTTTTGTGATGGAAAATTAAAGTACCAGTGATTCAAGAATGGAGTAAAATATTTTTCTTGAATATTTTTACACGGTTCGATAGAGCTCGTCGAGCTCTACAAAACTGTATACATTAAAAACTTTTTAAGTCACTTTTTTGCGATAAAAAATTCAAAAAAAGATTTGGAAAATCTTAGAAAACGTCAAAAAAATTCATATTGTTCATGTGGAAGAACAACGCTTAAGTTTTCAATAAAATCAGCTTTTTTCATTAGTATTCTTATGGAAGATGTTTGAAAATATATTCATTGGATGCAGCGTGAAAAATCGCATCGAATGAGTATATTTCGAAACGCCTGACGGAGTAAAAACAATGAAAAAAGCTGATTTTATTGAAAAATTAAGTGTTGTTCTTCCACATGAACAATATGAATTTTTTT